TCGGATGGTCGCGGCTCTTCACTACCTCGTAGCCTATATAGATACCAACCACTGGCTTCCCTTCGGTAGCCCGTCTGGTTTTTTGGTAGCAGTTCGCCAGAGTCCTACCGCCACCGCGGCGAGCCTGTCTGCCTTAAGGCCGCTCTTCCTTTCCAAAGCAGGAACGCCGGATGGACAGCCAATAGCGAAAGGCGCGAGTCACATTCACGTTTATGACTACGCTGGTTAGGTTTTTTGTATGTATTTTTTTTTTGCATGAGGATAACATTGTCGGATTTTGTTTTTCATAATTTCTTACGCTCTATACAGTTTTTAAATCGCATCTGCCTAATTATATCTTGTTTAACGAAAGATATATAGTCATTTAGGTAAATGATGATTAATGACGCATCGAATCGTGTTGAAAGATGTTATATTAAATTTGCAATTATTAAACGTAGATTTTAATTACAAATACTTCGAACGATAATATAATTAAAACTTTTATAAAATTCCAAGATAAGATTTATTTTTAGATACCATCTTTTATCTATTAGAGTGTAAATTAGAGACAAAGAGAGTTTTAACAAAGAAAATTATTTTTTAAGCTAATGCGAATGTTTTTTGGCGTATATCTATCAGTCGCCAAGAAATAGTGAACGCGTAAGCTCGCGCGCTAATCGTACCCATCACTGCCGTGGCGTAGCGGCCAGTACATGGGCAGATCGTGCGGGAGAGAAAGATCAAGCGCTCCACCTACGCCCACGTCTCAACCTGTTCTGTTCCTCCCGTCGAGCCACGGTTACAGGTGCCTGCCCGAGGGCATTCCTGCTGGAATTCTTCACCGATGATCTTCGCTCCTTGCTTTTCTTGCAAACTCATATCATCATATGTGTCTCGAATCATAGATATAGCAATATCTTTTCTACATTCTCTCGATACGAATATTTTCTTGATATCGAACTGAATTTATCTTTTTCTTTTCACAAAAACTGAGGCTCGTTAATATTTTGTTGTATATTCTTAAAAAATCAATACTTAAATTTTTATAAAATCTTTTTTTTTTATCTTTGTATCGTTAAATTTGAGAGCTTTGCATCTATAAATTTTTGAATCGTCAAGGCAAAACTTCTTGAACATACGAAAGAACATATGGAATAAAATTGTTTTTGACATGCATTTTGTTAACTTAGGATAATAATTTCACTAAAAGTGAAAAAAGATAAGGGAGATGAAGAACGTAATGAAATATCACGGCAGACTTTCTAGAAGGGTACTTCTCGGTCCTGATCGAAGGGAAATAAGAAGAAATCAAAGCGGTGGGAAGGTAGCGCCTAAGTACGCCCACACCGTCCTCTTTGGGGGACCTGTTCTCGACATTTACGTTCTGATATCTTTTCACTTCGTTTACGAGTCCCCTTTACGTTTTACGACCGATCATCGAGACCCTTTCTCTCCGCGAATGAAGGCGGGGAAGGGTAGGACAAGTGGCGGCGCCGAGAGGAATAAAAGAATAGCCACTGTGGCGAAGAAGAGAGGGCCGAAACGCTCCGAGCATACTGTCAAACAAGATTCACTGCATCCTCTCTAATCGACTATTCTATGAAGTGACATTCAGATCTATTATCCATTCTCTTTTGATTGATGCGGTTTTGTAATCAAGCCGCGCAAATATAAATCTATGACAGATAAAAGTAACTTTTGTTAAAGAAGACGTCTAACCAAACACTTTATTCGAGAGCAACCTCCCGCTACGAATGCGCATTCTTTTCTACAACGCCATTACACGTGCAAAAGTGTCATCTACAGTTATAATAAAAATAATCACTAGCACGTTAATATTCATCCTGCCTCTTTAAGAGAATAGCATATGGACTATGGATACTTTTGTGCGTACAAAGCAGTTTTTTGTGCAACAAACGCGCGATAAGCGACAAGTCCTTATTCTAGAATCTCGAGAATGCCCCTGTTGGTGCAAAGTTGAAGGACGCACGTGGACTGGAATAAATGGCGGATTCACAGTCGCATTAAGTCACTTAAGCGACGTCATTTAAGCGACTATCGGAGTCCGCTTCTCACCGCCACGACGGGACTGTGGCCAGGAATTCGCATGTTTCTCCGTGAACGTGAATTTCTCGGTATTCATCGGAGGTAAGCGGGGCCGGCCGGCGAAGATCGGTCTCGAAACGGCGCACTACGCACGTACGCGTCGGTATGCAGCACGCTGGAGCCGCTGGAAAACCGTTGGACAATTCTCCGCATCCGCGTCCGCAACGCGACGTACCGCGTTTTTCCAGGAAGCCGAGCGAAATCTTTATTCTACGACCGTGACGTGCTATCGAGACCGAAGGCGGACCTGCAATCGAAATTATGCACGCACACGTGGCGCCAAGATACCGTCGCATCGGTTATTGTATGTACTCTGGTTTTGAAAAGACACATTGCAATTCGATTTCCCGTATTCATGAGTTACAGTCTGTAACACAGAAAAATTCCAATTCTTGTTTTAAATCTTTCTCTTTTCTCCTCTTAGTTTCACTTAATAAACCCCTACAGAAAATTAATCCATCATTTTAATCTGATATGTCTTGGAACTCTTAACGCCGGTTATCGATTACAGCATGAAATCCTAAAGTTCATAATATATAATTAATCGTTCCCGATGTGAGATTGGAAAACGCCATATCGCAAATAATTATTTATACCATGCTTGATCTTTTGAGAATTTTCTTTGCTTTTTATTCATAGATCTGTAGATAAGAATAATTGATAGTAGGGTTTCCGAAGATAAATTTAAAGTGTTATACATGAACAACGAAAATTCGCCCACGCTGTAAAAAATCATAGTATTAAATGCCAGTCATCGGTTGTCTGTCCGATGATTTATGCGCTCGTGCTCGCGATTTAAATTTCAAATATTCAGCGGACACATCTCTCGAGTTACATCGCGCGATCTTATGACAAAGTGCCGTTGTCACGTCGAACGAGACGAGTGTGATCTACACATACACACATATACACAGTACACGTCGGTAGATTAAAATAAATATTTTACAGATCCCACGTGACATTTGTTTCGTGGGAATTGGGACTCCGTCGAAAATACAGCCCAAGAGAACATAGCTTATCATTATTCACCTGCCTTTTCGTAAATTGTCAGAAATACGCAATTTTCTCCACTTTCGGAAACGCAACAGCGTTTTAATAGGTATTCGAATTAATTAATCCATGACGGATCTCTTCCGTTTCGAGTTAATATCCTTGGTTAACGACCATGTGTGTGTGTGTGTATGTCTGTGTGTGTGTGTGTGTGTGTGTGTGTGTGTGTGTGTCAATAAGTGATGATGCTGCCTGTTCGCAAAGTGGGCGAGGTTCTTTTATCGGGAACATTAAAAAAAAGTTCCGTTAGCGGAGCGGAGTGGCCGAAACGGGGCTGCATCGCCGATAATCGGCACGTGATCGAGCGCGATCTCGTCGAGAGGCGATCGTCTCTCGGCTTTTAATGGCGGCCACGACGCTAATGACGAATGGTCGGTCAATATCGCGACGCAAAAATACGACGAATGTTCTAATCGCATCTCATTACAACTTGGCGTCTTTTCACCGCCTCCCCCATTCTCCAGAAGGCTTCCGTTACCTCGATTGCCAATCGCTCTGAGATGAGCCTCACGTAATCTACACCTGTTGGTTTTGCACGTCAATACCTGCTCTTTTAGAATTGGTAAGACGGCAAGATTATATGCAAAGTCGCTTACATTGATGTTTTCTCGCGATTAACACGATAATTATATGTTTTGTAAAAATACTTAAAATTAATTTTGAGCGTTTTTTATTTTTGATGTTACTCGTGTTAACCTATTTGCTTTTAACCTAGATCGTATTTCATGATAGTTAAAAGGATTGATGTACAAGCCTGATGTATTTTGTAATATTTATATATAATTCTGTATTGCGCGCGTACCATAAAAAATCTTTTATTGTAAAATATACAATAAAACCTATTCGTGCTATTCTGTTTTGACAGACAATTCTTTTTTTATTTTTATAATATATTTCTTGTTAATTTATTAAATTTTATGTTTATAGTAGCAAAAGAACATAAACACGGATAAATTTTCGAATTATTTTCTATATTTAATGATATTATTTTCAGACTATGAGCATATAACACGACTTGATCGAATTTGTCTGTCGGAATATTATATCATTAATCATCGTGCTACATTTACAAGTATAGTGTTATCATAAATAACATCATATATTATTATGAAGTCATAGTTTATTAGCACCTGCGAATTTAAACCTCGTCCATATAAATGTCGCTACGAGATGTCAATTACTATCATTAACAATCCAGCGTTGTTAACAACAACGTTGCGTCAACAAAATACCACCTAATACAGTGGCGCTCAAATCTCAAACTGTAATAACATATAATCGGAAGTCATTTCTCGCGAAAATTAATATGCGTCCGATTAAAATTACATATCTTGCGAAATCTCACGGTCGAATCACTTTCAATAATTTCTAATATGAGTTGAAAAGATATCGATTGAAGCAAGAGTCACGTAATATATATATATATTATTATTATTGCGCCTTATTATTGTTGATATACATATATCATATAGCTAAGATTTATGTATATATATATATACATATATATATATGTATATATATATATACATATATATATATACAAATCTTAGCTATATGATATATGTATATTTGTATATATGTATATTTGTGTATATATATATATATAGAAATCTTAGCTATATGATATATGTATATCAACAATAATAAGGCGCAATAATAATTTGCCGTTTAAGCAGTTTATCGAAATGATAATGAAGCAATGTACATGTGCGACGACTTAATCTAAACGTCAATTCACCGCACATTGCTATTTAAATGTTATATAACGTACGCCAAATTAAAAAATTAATTTAAAATTAATTTTTGCACAGATAACGTGAGCATCGTCGAATAACCACATCGTTATCGTTTGATTGTTTCAGGACGAGGTGGGTGGTAGTACGGTGGTAGCCGAGGGTGTCGTAGGTGGCATAAGGGGCCCAGGCGGCGGGTGCCGCGCATCCTCGATGACGATGGCCGAGAGCGCCGTGGAGGACGCCGCAGCCGCGCCCCCGGGCCCGGCCAAGCCGCCACCACCCTCCTGTACGAACAACAACACCCTTGCGGCGACAGCCAACCGCAACCATCGGAACCCTCGCAAGAAACGGAGACGGCTGGAGCAGGTAGTGGACACGTTACAGGCTCATCGCAGTTCACCATCCGAAGGCGAGGTATTGAAGTTCGAAGGCAGCGGTCCCGTGTCCGAAGAGGAGGATGTTTTCGGCTCGCCCAGATCATCGTCCTCGCGATCCGCTGTGGATACCACCGCGGTGATTGGCCAATTGCCATTGAGGTTGAAAGACGCGGACGCAGTGACGTCAACCGAAGAGGAGCTCAACGAGATCAGTCAGCAGTATCACCATCATCCCCACCGACCGTATTGCTACTCGTATCATCATCATCGAAATCGTTATTCTCCCTATCAGAACAACCACCGATTGTCGGCGACCAAGTACTCTGACTGTATGTGCAGCCAGTGCTCGCAGTCGCTGGCTGCGTCGGCGGCGATGATGCTGCCGTCGGCGACCTCCCTACAGACACCGCTGTCGCGAACCAGCTTCACGTACAGCAGTATATGCGGCACGTACAGCATATTCGAGCAGTACATGCATACCAAGTACCTGTCGTCGTCGTCAGGCGACACCTTCCGCGGACGCAGTCACTCCGATTCGGATGTAGTGCCCAGGTGGGAAGAGACGCGGTCCGCGACCACCTCCTTTTCCTCTATCGTCAATCATCCCCCGCGAAGTGGCTCTCTCGAGAGCGACAGCACGAGTCCTCAAGAATCACCATTGGATCTCTCCATGAAGAATCTGATGCTACAGTCTACCGCGGCCGCCTCGGCGATCTCCAATAGGTCACCGGCTCTTCAGCTGCTACCGTCGGGCATCGTAACGCGAGGTTCCGTCAGCGTGCCAGTAGTCAGGGGCGACGTCGCATCACCCACGACGAAAGAAAGCGTTGCAGTACGGTACAATTTGGAGGTTTTACCCGTCGTCGAGGAAATGGCGCCGGGCGCAGACGTGGCTTACGTTTGTCCAGAGTGCGGACAGATGTTTAGCCTGCATGATCGTTTGGCAAAGCACATGGCATCCAGACATCGTCGGCAAGGTCTCCACGATGCCTCAGCGAAGGCGTACCTCTGCGACGTGTGTCAAAGGAGTTTTGCGAGGTCGGATATGTTGACTAGGCATATGAGACTGCACACCGGTGTCAAACCGTACACATGCCGGGTTTGCCGACAGGTGTTCAGCAGATCTGATCACCTCAGCACCCACCAACGAACCCATACCGGTGAGAAGCCATATAAATGCCCGCAGTGTGCCTACGCAGCCTGTCGCAGGGATATGATCACCAGGCATCTGAAAACCCACAACCGGTGCGCGGACGGCCCTATTCCGAAGACAGAACCCGGTTTACTCGCCGGCGAGGAATGTCCCACTTTCGATCAGAACGTGGCGGCGGTGCCGTCGGCGATTATCAAGGCCGAATGACAACGATCGATCGGATGACCCTGGCTGCATTCTAGCTCCAGGTCCCAGCGAGGACCTCGCGGTAAGATCGATCGGGGGTCCTCAGGAACCTTTGCAGGTCGATTAGGATTCCGCGGGAACATGTTGAGAGAGCGAAATCGCCGCTCGACAATCTCCATGACATTAGCCGAGCGTTAGGAAGAAATTGATACTTGAAGAGGTCGCGATCTTGATGGAACAAGAAAATTAGCGAGAGGAAAGATTTGTTTTATTGTCGTAATTCGCAATTTCGCGAGAATACCGACGGATACTAATACGAGAGTCTGTGATCGAGCTTAAACTTTTAGAAGAGATTGCAGCTAGACGCGTCAATTTCATTCTTTCGCTACATATTGAAATCTTTTCTTGCAAAAAAGTTTATAACATATTCATTTCAATACATTTAAAAAATTCGTTAATGAAAATTGTTTATGTTTACGCAAACCTAATAATTGTTCCTTCGTTTTTCTATTTAAGCTTTTATAAATTGGAATAGATATTAACAGTGTATGTAACGTTCTACAAAGTGGCTTTGTTACTTCAAGTGATTTTATTGCAACATTTTGCAATTCTTTATCGTATTTGCAAACTTGAAGTCTCCCGTATGCGTTCTATTCAGCGAAAGAGTTAAATTCGCACGTCGGAAGCATCATGGAGAGCTGAATGATAAAAATGAACTTCGCTCCCGTGAGTATTATATTGTATTATTTATTAAAAAATAAATGATTCTTTTTGTTTAACGATTTTTTTGCGGATTGCCTAAAAGTCATCATCCCTTCATGCGTCACACGCGATCGCGCGCGTTAACAGCGAATAATGCCGAACAGTATTATCGTACTTCTTCGACCTCCGCATCTGATTCTGTTTCCGCGATTCGAGATTCCGCGATACTTTCATTCTTCCTAATGTTTCATCGCGGCGCATGATATCGTGACTACAATTTCGGCCAAGGAATAATCCGAGAGCAATCTATTTGCATACGTATATCAAGAAAGTTGATTTTATATTAAATCAATTACTAATTTATCAACAAGCTCATTTCTCATCTTATATATAATTTATATATTTTTATTCATATTCCAGTGATTTCTTTTCAAAATTTAGAAATTCTGTTAGAACTTAATGTTTTATTTTTTTTTTAATCTGAAATTTGATTATCAAATATGTTAATTGTTGTCGGAGATTCCTTGATTGTCATGGAAAGGATGTAGCATCTAACCAACTGCTCTTTTTGTAAATCTTTCGCTTTCTCGTTCTCGATGCATAAAACTAAGACACACACATACAAGCTGAAAATAAAGCATTCCTGCTCGGACGCACAAGTGCAACGGAGGTACATGAAAGCGGTGCTTAAAGGCTCGGCGTTAGAAACGAATTGTGTTTTTATCGTGCTCGTAAAACGAGCCACGTGTCCACACAATAATACTGTATGTAAATAATCAATCATATCGCGCATCATTTCTTCACGAAAGACTTTCCTAATCTATAACATTAACTGTGGAGAAATCTGGAACGTAGCCCGTCGGCGACGCGAACATACGTGCCAAATTTTAGATGAATATTTCGGAAATGCGATTAACACACGCATCAACCCCAGTAAACTGCACATGTCGAGGTCTAGTGAAATTCGTGATTTGAATACATTGTTACTTCTGCTTTTCTTGTTTTTTATGTGAAATTTTTAGCTAAAGATATATCGGAACGCAAATTGTTGTTTCAGAATTTAATACAATTTAAAATCATATTAAATTAATCGTATCGAAGACAAACGATATAGAAGATTTATTAGACCTTAGTGAGCAGTTTTGAAGTTATACTCTTTAGAACATATCTGTCGGTCGAGCGCGATTTGCGGAACGGAGAAAAATTATTGGTACAAAAAAATAATCTTGTTAAAGATTCCGAAAAATGATACATCAATCAGAGCCAAATCAATTAACAAATCATTTTTCTGATTGAGAATTTATTTATCGCCAATATTTTTCTCATGTGTCCATTTCTGTAAATAGCGAGTCGCCATTGGTAACCTCGTCGATTCGCCCGAAACCTGCTCAAGTTGTTGTTACTTGAAAACTTGTTAAGATGACTTCTTATAGAAGTCAAAAGAAGCAAAGCAGTGATGTATTTGGTAATTAATAAATGTAATCGCGATCATTGTGTTTTGTAATGGACATTTTGTTAGTGCGGAGTCTGAAAATCGTTTGATCGCGAGGATAAGAACAATGTGAAAAAGAAACAAACATATTCGTACCTGCAGAAAGAGAAAGAGAGAGAGAAAGAGAGAGAAAACGATGTTAAAGCATAATAAAGCGTATAGAAATAACGTTAATTAGTGAGTAATATTATTGACACTATTATTGCGTTTTATTATTGTAACTATTATAATTATTCGCGCCGCCACACGCCGACAGGGAGATAAAATATTTTTTTATATAATGCATTTGAAGTATGTGCGACATCACGGAAGGCTTCGAGAACACGAAGTTCAGTTTGAAAGTTGTTCTCACCTCGAAATTAATGCTAATTAAATAACTTCGAACGCCGCGAGAGACGATAACATCGGCGTCAGTTCGTTACGTTATCGAGAAACGAACGGTCAAGTTGACGCGATCGATACATGGTCTCTGATTTTTTTTTTACGTTTTCCTGTAGAAGTTAAGTGTACGCGAACAGCGGTCGTTGCGGCGCGATTAATCGAAACTGGTTGTGGTGCTTAAGCGAAGAAGGGCGAATCCGACAGGATATCTTTGCGCTGTGAATCGACGAAGACAATCTAAAAGTATACTCAAACCATGATCTCTATACGGATAAGGTCGCCAAGCCGAGTGAATAGCGGATGAAATCCGCTAATGTCGTTCTATAGAGCTACGGGACTATGGAAAATGTACATATATTTTAATGACATTTTTTATTTACCAATATTTCCCTCGCATAATCCTTATCGTAAAATTAATAAAAATATATATATATATATGCTAGATGAAAATCAGAGAGAAAACAAAGACAAATATGATAAAATGTCAAAAATGAAGATTTAAGCAAGTGCATAAACCATGCAGAGATGCTCACGTTAAATTGCATCAAACAAAATTTCATCTCGCTGTTCGCTCGGTCCCGCGAATGAATTCCGTCTCCCGTTTCGGAAACGTCAATTCCACATAGTTTTACGATAGTCGTATGGTGACTCGTTGAGCAGCACGCGCCGACATAATACTCGAGCTTACTCAGCCTCGATCGTTTCGTCCTTAATCCTTATCCTAAACGTATGTATATTTGTGTACTTCCCCCGATGTGTCTCCTATTCCTCGTCGGAAAAAAAAGTAAACGTATCAGCGCGCGCTGATACACGCGTGGCACGCGCATAGATACGTATATCTCTGTATTTTTGTATATCAAGGTTTTTTCTAATTACCTATCTACCGATTAAGCGTTTTCAGAGGACGAGTAAGTAGCTATTAAGGAGAAAGTATTGTCGCTCTCTGCTTGCCATTTTACTTGCCCCTCCCCTCCCCCCCCTCCCCTTGATCGAACGATTGCTTGGAAAGCGGTGTTTATCGTACGGTGCGACGCGCGAGGGAGGATCGTCGAATCGGAGGAAACTCGTTTTGTTCTTTAATCGATAATAGTCGAAGTACATATCGTGCGATCAATGCAATCGTCTAAAACCAAATCAAACGCATTTTTTGCTAATTGCTTGCCTCTAAGAGAAGTTAACTTACAAACTAATTACTTACACGGAAGTGAATTCCTTAATATATTCTAGGATTTCTAGACAAAAAAATGTACATCGTAATATGCGATGTGTGATTAATTTTGAAGTGCCATTCAGCCTTCGACGCAACGGAAACACATTTTCTTTTGTTTTATTTTTTTTTAAATTTTGTTAGCGTGATTATCGAAACGAGACCTCTTACCTTGACGTTATCCCTCGCACCAATTCAGCCTTAAACTGACAGAATCTCTTGCGTAATAAGTCTGTAGTAATTTAAGTAAGAAAAGACGTGAGAAAGGAACAAACGCGTTTGACGCGTCTTCGGGCAGTTAAGCGATCGCCGTGCCAGACCTGTTCTTGTAATTATTAACAAGTATAGCCATTCGTATGATTATTATTATTTCTATTATTAATATTATTAATTATTATTAATATTATTATTACCTGTAGTTATGTTGTTAAGTGATTAATCATGTTTAATGCTTCTATTATTTATTTTGTTATCCCGTTCATGAGTCAAGCTTTCTATTCTTCCCTCTTGTCTGTCCCTTCCTCACTATTCCGATTCTTTTCTTTATCCTATTAATTTTGTCCTATCTTTGTCCTATTAATTTTCCGTTTTACTTATCTTCATTTTATTCATTTATCCCTTACCGTCTATCACTCTATCATCGAACCGGAAGAAGGGAGAGAGAGTTCAATTTACATGAAAAAAAATTTATCGCAATATCTTTGTAATATTGATCGCATTTTCAACGTAAATAAAACTAAAATATATTTTGAATCTCAAACTCATCTCCCTTTTCTCTGGCTTACATGGCACAAAAAAGCTTGTCTCCGAAGAGATTTTGATCTCCAATTCCCAAACGAAAGCATATCTTTTGTAACGATGAAACACTGACGAAAATTTGTGTAAATGATTGATGATGATTGTGTACGTTAATTTATAAATTATGTTGTGTTTACGATTCGTGCCAGAATGGAAAAAAATATAATTTTTCAACGAATCATCTCCGTACTTCATCATTTTCACCCATATATGTTTCCCATTATATTTTGTTATATTTCATCCATTTCTATATTTTTTCCTTTCATTATAAAAATGCGTGACTTACATTTTAATATAAATTATGAAATATTAAGTAAATGAACTGTGTGATATATTTATTGAATGATACTTTGATAACTAGTAGTACAATGATTTCAATTCGGACAGAAGGTTAAAGACTTTGCAAGACTTAATTTGCTTCCGATTATAATTTAAATTAATTTTTTTATAATTGTTTTTAAATCCTAATTTAATAATTATGTCGGAAAGTACGTGGTGCCTTGCAACGTTCGAGAATTCGTATTTAGGATATATAGATAAATCAATATGAAGAGATGCGAATATATCTATCGTATCATTTTAAGGCTGAAACAGAGATAATTATGTAGAAACAGGAATTCGAGCGAATTATTTTTTCATGCGACTTTTGGATAAGAAATGTAGAACTTTCCGATATACACGTGATTAAGAATTCATAATCTGTATCTATACACCGGCAGTCAGTGTTGTGCAAGACAATCGCGATTATTATCTAAATGAAAAAAATGTATCAAATATACAGAAATATATATGTAACTAACGCATTGTTGCTATTTAGATTATACAATTTTATCACATATCTTATACAGAGCAACTTTTAAAGACATTGATCAAGCGATAAAACTATCTTTATTTATATCGCAGAAGATCAAAGAATTTCTTATTTGATGAATAAGAATATTTGATTGCATTTATTTGTATAATGCACAACACTACTCGCGACACTTATTGCAGTGCTGTAAATATTTCAAGGCCTTTAACAACAAGGGCATACATTCGTTTTATCACGATGTTATCTTTGTATCCTTTTCTACTGCCACGAATTTATAATCCGCATATCTGTACATCGAAATGAGGACAAGAACCTGTAATGTTGCTGCACTTCTATGATGGAAATATATATATACACGTTATATTTGTTTCTAAAGGACCTCCATAATTTTCTGCTGTACATTTATTTCATACCTATCATGACAAAATTTTATTTTTTTTAAATCTAATTAAATAAAAAAAACGCACATTTCTATAAATCTCTTAATTCACATTTCAATTAGGTGAGATTATATTATTAAGAAAAAATTAAGTAGCGCGTTTTTTATGACAGTAATATATCAACAGCTTTACATTTCTTTCTAATTACATATTTATTAATAGCCAGAAATGTGATCTATGAGTTTGTCGCAGATTACACCATATACTCAGCCGGAGATGTGGCACGAAAAAGGGAGGCAAGTACGTCACGATTGAGGCGACACTGATAACCCGGCCTGACCCAACCGCCAACAAATTCGCAAATAGATATACTTCTTCCGCGATGTAGACGTAAAAACAACAAAAGCGGTTAATGTCGTATATTTCCTCACATTTGAAGTTTTATGGCAATTCATTCACATTTATCAAATCTATATTTATATTCATTCAGTAATTGGATTTAATTACATGTTATACTATTTGAAGAAGAGAATTTCTTACTGCGCTATTAGAAACTACACTATTGAAAATAGAATTCTACCGTTAGTAATTGTATAATTCCTGCCGCGCAGCTTCTGGAGCGAACATGTAATATTTTAACGATTTGTAATTATTATGTCCAGTACACATATGTTTATTGTAAGACCCAAGATAAACATCGTGTGATTATGGTGAAATCAGTTCCTTTTGACTTGACATAACACAAAAATGAAAGTGAGAGAAAGATGATAGGAAATATCTATATTAATATTCGCTAAAAATATTTTTTTATACGGAAGCGAATTGCTTCATCAATGTCTCGTGCACCCACGTGACAAAATTCTAATCTAATCAATAATGACTTTTCTATAACCACGAGATTTGATTTTTGAGGAGAAAATAAAGTTGAAAAATTCATTGAATGCGAGTTCTATCCTTGTTGCAATATATGTATTGTGTTATATTAAGGGATAACGAATACGCGATAGATTATACAATAGGTAATAATACATTTGGATATTCTAGGAAACTGTCAATCAACATGAATTGATTAGTTGATATGAAAAAATAAAGTTGAGGTCCTAACGCAGCGCCGCATCCAAAATGCACAGAAAATCGTATCTGTAGAATGCATACTGATGATCGGTTTGATGTTTACGTCACTCGCCTAAACAGAATTTCAGCGGTACACCTTATTATACGCGCATTATGCGTTCGCTGGATCAGTACATCGCGTCGTATCCTTTTCGGCGCGGTCGATATCCCGGATAAGCGGTAATGGAATAATCGACGTTTCGTGTAAGGGATATTCGGATAATCGGCTTGCCGATGCACTACCATAACAATATCCGCTGACACAATTTTTCAAATGCACAAGCTCGCCGTGCCGGCTGTGGGCATAATGGATACCAGATTGCAGCAGCGCGGACAAAATGCGCCAGTAATTAAATTAATCCGTTTTCAGATCCTTGAGCATTCGGACCACACCGAGATTCCGGGCGTTCTCTCCGCCCGTATGCGAATATCAGTTCTATCGATCGGAATAGTTCGGTCCATTTGCTATGCGCTCGAAGACTAATTAATATGATACTAGCAGGTGATTAATGGTACGGACGCATTTGCACGATGTTTGTCGTCTTACTTTTACCCCGCATATATCATGCTTACTTTATAGATATTTTAGTTTCAAGATATTTCTATAGAAGATCGTAAAGAAATAGGTACTATTGTTGTTAGATTAATATATGATTTATTGTTCGATTTTTAACAACGCTTTGATAAATATGATATGCATTTTTTTCAAAATAAAAATATTATACGACCAAAAAAGATTGCATCAAAAATATTGCTATCAAAAATACCATTTTATTCATACACGACGCGGTTTAAAATTTCGACTAAAATAGAAAATTCTGCTGATATATACGAGTTTCTTATTTTTGCAATCTTTGTATCATTCTTGGAGGTAACTCTCACCTCGTTATCTTTATGCCAGAACGTGATGATGGTATGATACTCTAAGAAGTACCAAGCAACGTACAGCCTTGAAAAAGTGCCGACGATGCAAATCGTGCTTCTTTCGCCGATTCTATTTCGTCATAGTTTCACTTCATGAATATCAGCCGTCAAACAATCTTACTTTTGTGAAATTTATCTCTTTTATATTCTCCTCTATATTTCGCTTATGAATACGGTTAAATGCTTACAAATTCTGCTTTTTTTATGAGCCATTTAATATTTAAACCAGCAAGTCTTTTTTTTTCAATTGTCTATACATCGTTAACTGAAACATTTTATTTCTTTTCTGTCGCCAAATGTACTATCCTAGAATTGATATTATATATTTATTATTACTCTCAAAGTTTGAATAGTATTTAATAATATATATTTCTAATTTTAAATAAATATTTAACGTTTTCCTTTTTCTTTTTTATCTCCGTTTTCCTTTACCGAAAGTATCGAAGAAATCGAGACAGCATTAAGTCGGAGTATCGTGTCGTCGCGCGAAATCGAGTTGTAGAAGAAAATCGAAAGAATAATCGAACAGTCTTTTGTAACGATTTATGGATCTCCTCCCGCCGTCATCGTCGCGACGCACCGGCATGGGCACCGCCTTTCCTTTCCGCGAACGGCCGCGTCGCGATGTAACGTGGCACCCGCGTGACGCGATTCCCCGTGTCCATTTTCTCGCTTTTTCACCGCGTACACACGCGCAATCGCCAATGCGAACGTAAATTATTGCGAACGGGCGGTAGTCGGAAAACAGTTCCGAGACGCAGGCAAAAAAAAAGCTCGCGCGCGATCCATTAGAAATTATAAGTTGCCGCATCGCGCGACCATGCGTCGTCCGTTCGCCGATCAGCGATTTCTCCGCCGACTCTCCCACTGATCCTTTTTCTTATTATACTTTTTCTCCCCCCGATCCCTTTTTCCTCCTCTTTCTCCGTCAATTCAAACGTGGTGAACCGGCCGCGATCGTACTTGTCACCGCTCCCCGTTCCACCCACGCCGCCGCCATGATGCTTGATTCTCTCTCTAAGGCCCTCGGACCGGTCCCATTTTTTTGCCGCAACAGCGTCCTATACTCCCCCCCTCCCCTCCCCGCTTCTGAAGGAGTCCACCGCGCTGTCCTGATCTATACGTTCGTGTCCGTTCTCATCTTCGCTCGTTTGCCGCGCCTCTCCTTCTCTTTCTATCTCCCTTAATCTTTCGCGTAGCGGAACCAACTTATCTATCCCATGGAAAAATATCGATCGTTCGTCGAGATACTGCCCGTACTGAAATGAGTTGTCGTCGTTGCCGCGAATTGGCATCGTCATTCGATCGTTATATTATACTTGGTAATAATAACTATCGTTACAACCTACTCGCTCTCGCTGAACGTTATTAAGACCGGAAATAATTTCATTCAGTTGCGTTTGTCCGGAATTACCTCTGTCATTTAGATTTTTTTTTTTTAATGACAGCGGACGCGAGTTTTTTTTATCTTACACGGGATTCAATTTAATTCAATAATGCTATAAGAAATGCAGCTCTTTTTATAATTTGTTGAAAAAAAATTAGTGAAAGGATAAAGTTATTACGATATTACGTTCAATAGTCTGCGTTGAGATAATAATCAATCGATTAAGGATCAATATCCTTGCGCGCAAGCAGCGGAAACGCATAATCGTCACTGATGATGGGTGCGAGGCATCCGCTCGGCTTGCTTTGATTCATGAGCGCGTTCGCAGAGCAGCGCTAATTGAAACATATACAGGCGTCGAACCGTTACAATTATCGGCGCTTCCAGCGGTAACATTTAATTTCTAGTAATGAACGCCAAGCTGGTGCAAATCCGCAGATTCACGCGGATCGCGCGAGCGCGAAGATTAACGAGCGCAATGTGCTCGTAAATTACGGCTGCGAGCGGACGGTGAGACACGGTACGACGAACTTTGCCGAAGACGCCAACCATTGCCAAGAAGTCGC